CCTGATAGTATTCCTGCTGGTCTATACTAGGACGACAAATTTGACTGAAAACAATACAATACTATACAAAACTGTCTCAAATAAATAAAACATCGTATAGATACCTGTGCGTATTGTCTAAATTTACTTATATTTGGCCACTGATAAGTCACCAATCGTTCTAAAAGTTGTCCATACGTGTTCGCAATAAACTCTGCCATTGTTTTAATAAATTGTGATAATGACTGCTCCGAGCATAAACATAAACTTTAAATCAATCAAACGACTAAGGTAGCATAGTCTTCGTAGCAACATACACAATGCTGTCAAACCTATAAACAGAAAAGAAATAGTCAAAATTAGGTTTTTATTTTCCGTTATAACATGCATATTAACTAACCATCAGTTCTGTTTCCATTTTCTGTCAATATTTCGTCTGGAATTCGAAGTACATTCCTTAATCTAATTATGTCATTCCTTTCAAAACGAAATTTTTTTATTCACTTTTTCGTCAGTAAAATTGTTTAAGTGAAATGGAACTCCTGTGTCAATTGGATCATTATTGATCACTCCAATAACATTATAAAGGATCAGAAGCTCTATATCTTTCATCTCCAGTGCCCATTATGATAGCAATTTCTAATTGTTGATCCATGAAGTATTAAGTTTATATATTTTTTTAATAAATTAATAAAAATTGCACCTAACAGAAACTATAAAAATGAAATAATGTGTTCCAAAATTTAGAATTTTTAGGTTACAACAGAATACATACGGTCAAAAGAACGGCACACAAAAGTCAACCAAGTCAACTTCATAATTTATGTCAAATTAGAGGAAATGTAATAATAAAGTTTTTACATAAGTCGCGTTCGATAGTTTAATTCTAAAACCACCTTATAGGATCTTTTGTTACAGGATATTTTATTAAAAGCAGCCTTTATTTGAATGCTTCGATAACTCTCTACTAAACTTTTTATTACTTTTTACTTACTATCGAAAAATACTGTCGATTTAATGAATATTCACCAGTCCACCTTGGTCATAATAATCGATCTATGGAATAATTCACTAAGAAATTATGTAAAGGAAATATAAATATTTTTTACGTACTATAAGTACTTATAAATGAATACAATCTTGAAAATATTAGAAATATATGAGAGCCTTATAATAAAAGGAGTATAAGTACATTTTAAATTATTCTGAGATATTTGCATTTAAAGTTAAACAACATTTGAAAGTTCCTAAAAGGTGCTGGGATGTTTATTTAAAATTTTTTATTTCTTAAATGAACGATATATTTTAACATTATAACAGGATAAATAAAAACTTTTTTTAAAAATGTGCTAAAATTTACAAAAAGTACTTATACCCTTTTTATTCCAACATATTTGTTCGCAAAAAAATCTTTAGTATACAAATAGGAATTTATTTTAAGAAATACACAAATTTATAAACATTATTCGTAATCGGAGTACAAAATAGAGTCTAGATTCTCGTTTTCATTATTTTCTTTTTTTACGTGATCATGTTGTCTTTTTTGGGTCGCTAATATTATTAAACTTAGGGCTCGTTACCGTTGCTCTTTGTGCACAGAAGTCAGCGATTTACAATTTTGTAAATCAAATTAGTTACATATTCTTATGTTTAAATTTAAATTTGGAAATTATGACCCAAAATTTCTATTAAAAAATCAATAAATAAGAGGGTACTCAAAATCTGTTTCTATTCTAGTCCCCTCTTCACAAATAAATCCTCGTCTCGCCTTAGTAGACTAGTTCTTGGTAGGAACCAGCTCCGCTCCCCTTCATCTCAGGACGGGCCTCAGTTTCCCACCGATCCATCGTCTTCATTTAAAATTCTTAATTAGGTGATAGCGAAAGCTATATATCAGGAATTGTTTCTACGTGTACTTAGTACAACTAATAATATTAGTGTTAATATCAATATCAAATTAGCCGGCTGAAAAGAAAATGTCTGATCAGCTAGGAGCCATGAGGCAATGCCGGTTAAACAAAATTACATTTTAATGAAAGCTGAAGGCTAAATACTATAACTAGGATTACTAACCTTAAGGTGTTGTTTTTCACTATTTGAAAAGGAAGTTTTGAAATGTATTATCTACCCTTAACTTCCATATAAGCCACAGTTGCGGCTAATTGCAAATATCCAATATTGTCTGCTTCTCACGACAAATGGCCAAGAACCAGGAACCGTTATTCCTTTCTTATTTTGTCATTTTGTCAGTTGCGCATGAGCGGTTTCATACCATTCTCTTAACTTTTTGAGCTTAAGAGCGGGAAATTTAAACATACTCTACAGTATATCTCTATTTGAATTAAGTGACCTTGTAGATTAATGGCTATATTAATGACGATTTTATAATATAAGTTTATACCCTTAATAATAACAAAATGACGTTTTCTTAAAAATTACTATATTGAATTTGAATTATATCTGACCGCATAGCCGACTGTAACCAGGACCTCGAAACAAACGAACGGTCTTTAGCCAACTACCATCCGCACAGTAGTGCAAATGATTCAAAGTTTTGTCAATATAAACTTAACCTAATTATGTTTACCAAATTTTTGTGCATATAAATGGGTGGAATAATTGAAATAAGTGACAGAGTTGTAATTGGAGAACCAGGGTAAGACCTGTGCTGATATATTAAGGATAAACTTTTAAAATTCTACATTAAGGTGAGTTTATTTAAATAAAATTGTGACATGATAATAATAGAATGTTACAATGTTAATGCTTTTGATTGTATGTCACTTCTAACGTCTGCATTTTTTTGTTGTAAAAGCGAATAAATATAATAAGGCACAATCATTATTAATAGAATCCCAAAGTATTAGGTGAATATGTCCATTATATTTAAATATTTTATTTATATTGAAAACAAATGCTCATTAACAGTAGAAACGGGAAAAATGTTTAGTCAATTCTGATGGTAAGTCTAGAGTGAGTTAAGGATTGGTAATTAAATTCCCAACTCGAAAAGTGTATTACATGACTTTCTTATAGAAACTTTTTAATGCTGAGAAAAAATTACTACTTTAGGCAATTATTAGTGGATAGTACTATTTTACTCAATGAGGACGATGCTGAATTGAGTGAAGAAGACTAAGGAAAAGAACTCCAATGGATAGTCTGAAAACATGGCACGTATAATTTTGAATAAAAAGTATATTGGGGATGTTGGAATCATGTAGATGTTTCGTACCAAGAAAATACGTAGGAATACATGGCAAAAGACTTAAATAATTTGTTTGAAATTAATAAAAAAAAAATAGATTTTAAAGAGTGTTAAAACTAAAAAGAAAGCCAATGTAAACAATCATAAAAGTGGTAGTCAAAGAACAAAAGTTAAAATTTAAGAAAAGCTCAACAAGGATGATAGTATTGAACCCAATTATGAAGGATCAAAGCAGTACTACTGAAGTACATAAAGATAATATAAAAGCTGAGAAGGAACAGTCTATGTCATTAATTGACGTCTTTAATAAAGCCCAAGAAGCTAAATTTAAATACCGAGATCTACACAAAGAACAGAAACAAGGAGAAATGTAATTACTAAAAGACTTAAACATTTTTAGAAACATAACTAATTTGTTTTTCCAAATTTACTTATATTTTTGTTTTGTTAAGTTCTAAAGATAATTGTTTGTTTTGTTTTTCTAAAGTTCTAAACCATTTTTTTAGCAAATTTTATTTCGTTTTTCTAAATGTAATGTTTTATTTTATTTTGTAGGTGACAACTTTATATTAATTTTAAATATTTTCTTGTTGTGACAATCTTTTAGAAACATTACAACGTTTTTGTTCCCCTTGTCTTTTTAGTTATCTTTCGCTTTAATGATCATTTTCTTGATTAATGATTAATGTCATTAATGTCATTATTATAAGGGGCAATATCTTGCCAATCACCGTTATTGAGAATATACAAGTTCCAGTAAGTTGTCTCTACCTCGACTTTAACATTCCAGAAGCATTTTCTACGTTTATTGCATGTCTTTTATTAAAATTTTCCTGTGTATTGATTATAAGCGACAGTTATGGATTTTACTTTACTTTGAAAACATCTAAAAGAAGTGTATTGTAGTCACAGATGACTTGTAAAGTTAATGCTGGTGAATTATGTCGGTTGACATAGGTACTTTTAATTTTATAATAGGATGTCGAAATTGGTATATAACTACCATCAATACAATCCAACACTTTCGGAAATCGGCGCAGCTAAAAATAAATTGATTAGGTTTATTAAAAAATAGGCAAAATATATAAAAAGGTTTACTAGACCACTATTTAAAAATAAAGGTTATTTACTTTTTCAATTTCTGTTGCCATATGAACCTTTTCCTAAAAGGTTAAGGTAAATTTTATAAGACTGGTTGCCATATCATTTAAAAAATATTAAAGTTTTAGTAGTCAGTAAATGGAACGTGTACATGACAATTCAAAACCATCATTCTACATCCCTTATGACGCATTTAGTTCCTACAAACCTGAAAAATTTGCATATTTTATAGCTTTCAATTTCCTAAAATCTTTAAATTTGATCATCTAATGAGGGCTCAGTACTAAGGTTACAAACGGTATGTGTTTTATATTGCCTGAAATAAAGTGGACCTGAAATAATCCAACCTGTAGGATTAGCTAATCTTTACCTAATTTAATTTGTCCAATACTGACAATTTCCCAGAATATTCAGCACCTATCAATAAATCAATAGAAGCCGATTTGTTAAATTGCGGTTCTGGTAATTTGATGTTATGAGGTACATTTAAAAGATTTTTGTCGAATGTAAATGAAGGAAGAAAGCCTCCCATAAAGGATAGTACTAAACACGAAATTGTAATTTTATAATCGTTGTAATTTGGTTGAACTTTAGTTGTTCTATAATTAATATTAGAAGTAGCCTCATTAATCCCAGAAATTTAAAAATCTATTTCATTTAAAGGCAAGTCTAAAATTTTACAAAGTTTTCCTGAAATGAAGTTGCTTTGTGATCATGAATCTAATAATACTTTATAATCATGTAAATTTCCATATTTATCTGAGATTTTCACCATTGCTGTTGACTTCAAAACCATGGGTTTTGTAAATGCGCTCTTTGTTGTAAGAGCAACTTCATTTGCTATAGTTTGCACTGTGTGGGATCGTAAGATCTCAGAATCACTTTGGTTAATTGGCTGTGTAATATCATTTGTGGATATATTATTGGTGTTTGCCTTTTTTGTGTTTTGAAAACGAAGAAGGGTATTGTGCACCTTATGACATTTTCTGCAACCGGAGAATCGACAGTCCTTGGTTAGATGCCCTGAACGGAGACAGTTAATACATAGTTTTAAACGTTTGGTTTCACTAAGTCTAGATGATGCTTCTAGTTTGAGAAAGTCTGGACAAGCATAAATTAAGTGCTCATTTTTCCACAGAGAACAGTTTTTATTAGAAGATACTAAAAATGATTTAGAATTTTTAATGTGTGTGTAACCGGTTTTGCTAGAAGAAGTTCTGTTGTACGGTTCGTTGTTAACCTCTAAAGATTCCAATAATCTACAACGATTCTTTAAAAAATCAATGCAATCTACTAACGAAGGTAAATTTGCAGTTTTATTAGACAATTCCCATTCGCGTCTAGAAACGTTATCTAATTTTGTTGAAATTAAATAGATTATTATAGAATCCCATTTATCTACGGGTAATTTAAGGAGGTCCTTTTGCCACCAATGTTAAATAAAAAATATTAGATTATGACTAAAATTAATTTTTTTCTAATAGTAGATGTCCTTATTTATCTAATAGTGAACTTTTAACTATACCTTACCGTGCAATTTTTTGAGAATTTTTTTTTTAAATGTGTGTGTTTGTATAGTGTCTTATGAGAAAGTAAGACTTCAACAACAATTTTCGAATTATAATTAATTTTACTATTATTTATTGATTAGATGGAGTAGAAAAAAACTAAAAATACGGTTTTTGAAATATTTAGGTTTTGTTTTTTACAATAAAATATACTAGGTTACTTGAAAATTTTTTGTGATTTTTTAAAATTAATTTCTCAATAAGTTCCACGGTTTACTAACGTAAATGTACCAATTCCTGACACCTTAAGGATTGATTTTAGATGTTTTTATTTCTAAAAATAATTATGAAGTAACTGTGGTATATTTTATGGGTGGAACAGTTAGAATAGGTAATGGCAATGATGCAATATTATTGATTTTGATTAATTATGATATTTATAATAATTTGCAAAATTTTGAAAAATTGTTTATTTTTGTCCAGTACCTGACATAGCTTTTTTTGACTTGGCCCTAGGCCTGACTTTAAAAGAACCAATGCCTGACCCATTATATAAATAGCTCAAATATGATGTTCATGGTAGGGATACCAAATTAATTGCTTAAATAACCTTTAATCAAAGTTAAAATATAGACCTATATTATAAAATAAAATTTAATGAACACGCAGATACAATTATTACATTAGTTACAAATAAATATTCATTTCCTGCACAAAGTAACTACCTCTTGAATTTACAGGTCTTGGTTTTTCAATTTTTCTAATGACGTCCTCCCGTGAATACCATAAAACATCTTCATTTTCTGGCCATCTAAAGTTCAAACCGCTCTGTTCCATCGTGGTTACTAAATAAGATTGATTTTTTGGATCAATCTGTTTTATCTGACCGGGATAATATTTTCCATCGTATAATATTATAACAAAGTTTTCTTCTTTCAAAACATTTTTAGCTACTGTAGTTTCTTCAACTCTGTCACTATCTTTTGATAAAGGTTGATCCCAGTTATCTCCCTCAGCCTCAGATTCGATTAACATGTCAACGGAAGAGTCAGAAGATTCATCAGAAGTTGTACTCAATTTTCTGCGTTTTTTAATTTGTGCCTCTTTTCTTTGGAGTCTTTTGATAAGCTTTGTTTCTTCAATTTTTCGTTTTTTCTCTTCTTTTTCTTGTAACTTTAACAGCTTGGTTTGCTCTCTTTTAATTTTTTTCTCACGTTTTTCTCGTTCTATTTTCTCTCGCTCTTCTTCTTTCTTTTTAAATTATAGTTTTCCCTTTTCACCTGAAATTACTGAAGGTATGGGCTCTCTAAAAGCTCGCTTTTTAACAGTTTTTACTGTATTTTCAGGCAAAATAAAAACTCCCTTGAATGGACTTGGCATTTGAGCATTTGTTGTATATGAGCAACATGTTTCATTATTTCTTGTTTTCAATATATTTTTACTAGTACTTGCAACATCCTCAAAACTGTTGTTTTCCAGTAAACCCACTTGTAATGGCTTTGAATTTTCTATCTCTTTGGATATTTCATTTTGCTTTGATTCTTTAGATGGAGGTGTGGTTTCAAATATATTTTGTTCTGTTTCCTCTATCTCTGTGATGTTTCTATTATTTTCGAAATCTTCATCAAATACCTCTTGTAAATTGTTTATTACTATGTTCTTCTCTGCCTGTTCTACTTCGTTGGCTTCTGTATTAGTGTTCACATCACATTCCTCTTTTAATGTTTTCCATAGCATTTATAAAGATCTATCAACATTGTCAGGATCATCATTTTCAAATTTTTTAGTCATCTCTGTACCAATTCGGGATTGAATAAACTGAAAATGAATGCGCAACATTTCTTTGGATATAGTGGGTTTCTGCGCGTTTTGATTATTACCATTTCCTTTAAAGTATTTTTCGTAATTTACTGCAATTTTATCAAAAGGGAATAGTCCACAGCGCCGAAATCCGTTAACAAATGATTCCGGCTTTAGCTGTTGTAGTACAGTATCCAAAAGAGGACAAAAATGTTCTCGTTTCAATTTTGCTCCAGAATTCTTTATTTTAAACGAATGCACTGCTTGTTTCCACAATTGTTTTAGTGGCCGAAAGGCTGCTACATCCATTGGTTGGATGATATGTGTTGAATTAGGGTGAAGAGCTACCAAATATATCCCGTTTTCGCTGCAGAATTCGCTTAATGAGTAAGTCAAATGACTTGAATGTCCATCGACGAACAACACTACTGGTAATTTAATATTGTTCTGTATTAACCAAGGATGGAAAATATTTGCGATATACTCAAAAAAAGTGATACTTGTCATCCACCCTGATTCCGTTTTTCCGACACTCCAATGATCAGGAAGTTCACTTATGATACTTGAAGGTATTCGTTCATATTTAAATACTGCCATTGGAGGCATTAATTGACCAACAGCATTGCATCCAATCAAACAAGTGATGCACTCCTTTTCATCATTGCTGCTAAAAGAATAAACTGCCTTCTCTCCTTTACGAACTAAAGCTTTCTCTCCCTTTGGAGCTAAAAATATTGCCGTTTCGTCGACATTAAAAACCCTACTTGCGTCATCTAATATATCTAGGTTTTCTTTCAAGTCGTTCTTTACATCGTCAAACCATTTTTTCAAACACTCTTCAGTTACGGACGCCCTGGCTCTGCCCAAATGTTGCGTCATCCTCGGTGCTACTTCCGGGTGCCTTTTCATGAATAATTTGAACCATTTCTCTCCGGGTCTCCCGTTTGTAAATGATGTGTTCATGTTTATTTTTTTTTATATACATTTCAATTGAATCTAAAAGCTGAGATTTGGTAACTGGGAAGCCCCTATCAGCACTTGTGAACATCCAATTAATTATAATATTTTCTTCCTCTGGCATAAGATTAGTCTTTGGACCCATGTGCCGAATTTCTGGATACTTTCCCTTTACTTTGTAATAAAGTGTAGTTTTTGGCACAATAAATTGTTTTGCCGCAGCTTTGACTGACATTCTATTTTGCTTAACAGCCAATAGTGCTTGCTGCATTTGTTCATCTTGGTATTTTAATATTTTTGACATATTGATAAATCTACAAAAAATCATATTGCCAGTAGCTGACACTAATAATTCTAATGGCTGACTTAAGGTGTCAGGTATTGGCACCGCTTAAGATATCAATCTGAGAACTTCACACTAATATAAGCCTTACAATTGTAGTTTATAGAGTCTATTGTTGCATTTATTAATGATATTCCAGTAGCTGAACCACAAATCAGGCATTGGACTTGTTGAAATTTTTAAAAGCCAATACCTGACACCCCGGTCATAACAAAAAAAAACGTTATTTCATTAGAAATTAAGGTTATAACAAGTTTCCCTACTAATAAGCAGTACGTCTATATAATTACTTTAATAAAATTAAACAAACTCACCTCGTTATACACTATTTTTGTAACATACAATCCTTCTTAGAAACGCCAGTGAAACAGAGGTAAATGTAACTGTCAGGAATTAAACTGTCATAAAAAATTTAAAAATCAGTGTTACCACCCTACATTAGGAGAGTTCTTGGATGACATGTTAGCCAACCTAAATATTTAAACGGAATAGTTCCAAACCTAAAATTCTGCTTATTATTCATCAAATAAATAAAGGTGTCAGGTTTAGGCAAAGTGTCAGCTATTGGTACTTTTACGTTATATTGTAAAAATGAATTATAAAGTCCAATAGAATCTTGTTATGAAAGAAAAAAATTGAAAAGTAAGGATATGTGAGTTCACTGCTCTTTGTGTATTCCAAAAATATACTTGCAACCTTGCGATCGATGTTAAACGTGCCCTTGAAGTCATGGGCGCCCATAGGGAGGGGCAAGGGGGCACAGCCCCCCTGGATTTTATGTTATATTACACATTTTAAACAAATAATGGCAGACCACTGTTTGCTGTAGTGTAACAATTATAATTGTCCACGGAACAGTAACGCATGATAAACAAATTAGGTTGTAATAAAAAAGAGTAGGTATCACAAGATGATTTGAAACACAACTTTAATGAGATTTCAAAAAGATATCTTTGTATGTAATCATCATTTACATATAAAAAACCAAATTTAAAAATTACTGTTACACATCCCCACAACACAAATACCAAGTCAAATAACAGCTTGATGACATCAACATATCAACGTGACGCCGCTAGTCAAAAATTTGTAACCACAGTAGCTCCCAAAATTTTTAATAAGCTACAAAGCTATCGATAAACAAAAATTATAACTAAATTACATATATTTCGACTCAAAGCTAAACAATATATTATTGTTAACTTAGATTTATTTAAAGAGATTTTGTAAATTGACTGATACACCCCACCCCACATTGGATTTTTTTAATTTGTTATCGTCACATCGCTTTCTGTAAATTCATACTTAATTTATTTTTATACTATAGCACACATAGGTGGACACACATAGGTGCTTATTTTTCATTCTTTTTTTTAAGTTATTATTAGGAATGCTTTCCGTAAATCGCCCACATAAAATACTGTCAACCATTATTTTTCAGCGTTTGTTATTGTGGTTAAGTTAATTGCGGAACACGAATGGTTACTTGTTAAAGTCAACTGTCACGACGAGTGTATTTCTCAAAATGGTGGATTTGTAGGAGGCCTAATAAAGAAAAAAGAAAAGTGTTTAAATCTAACGTGAACTGCTAATTATTTACTGGGTAATTTTTTAAAATTTATTTTTTACTTTAAAATGGATAATGAAGCCGCTGCATTTTTTTAAATTTGGTTAATTCCGACGACAGCTCAAGTGAGGACGAGTTACTTAATGCAGGAATATTAAGGGGTCCAACGGGTATGTATTTTATTCAAATGCCTTCCAGTATATTATACTAGTGTCTACTTTTATTGTTGTAGTTCTTCGCCCAAGGATAACGCGATGTATTGAAGACGTTGTTGATGAATACCCTGAAGAATTATTCAGAGAAAATTTTAGAGTATATCGTAGAACTTTCAATGCCATTTTAGATCTAATAAGAGATGATATATCAACCAGTATAATTGATAGAGGAAGACATACTGTGAGCCCAAAAACACAATTACTTCTTGATCTATGGTATTTGGCAACACCCGATTCATTTAGGTAAAATATATGTAATCAATTCACTTCAATTACTTAATAATTCTGTAGTGCATGAAATTACTAAAGGCAATTACAAATATTTCAGATCAGTCTGTGGACGTTCTAATGTTGGCTATGCAACTGGATTACGTAGCATTAGGAGAGTTTCCAATGCTCTATTATCAAACAGTCCAAATATAATCATGTGGCCTTCCGGAGAATATAAAAATCAAGTAATAGAGGGATTTCAACAAAAAGGTTTTCCAAATACTATAGGCTGCATAGATGGAATGTTCGTAAAAATATTAAAACCAAAATATCATGGTGCATCCTACAATAATATAAAAGGGTTTTCTAGCATTATACTACAGGTATATAATATAATGGCTATATGTAGTGATCTATAATCATTGTTGTTACTTTTAGGGCGTTTGTGACCATAATTTAAAATTTACGAACTGCTATGTTGGGGAAGTAGGCTCCAATCATGATGCAACAGTCCTGCGTAGAAGTGAAGTTTGGACATTCATGCTTAGTCCTGATAAATTTTATAATAATGTCCATTTATTAGGAGATAAAGCTTATCCCTGTCTTCCCGAGCTAATGACCCCTTACAAAGATAATGGGTTTCTAACGGAAAATCAAAAAAACTTTAATTACTTATTATCTTCTGCAAGTACAATTGAAAGATGTTTCGGGTTGCTGCAGACAAGATTTAGATGCCTGAAAGATATTTTAGCCATTACTCGAATTGATTGGGGATGTAAATATATTATGGCCTGCTGTATTTTACACAATATTTGTATTACTCAAAATTATATTTTTGATATTGACATTCTCCCCAACCAAGCAGATGACTTACAGCATATTAATAGAATTCTAGAACGTCACCGGATGATTTTGGGACAATAAAAAAGAAATCAAATATATGCAGAAATAAATGGGGATTAGTTATGTATTTTCATTCACAATAAATTATTTTTTCATATTGTTTTTTTTTTTTTTTCAAAAAGTAACTTTGTACTCGAGACAAAATTCACACACATGGTAAGGGGGTTGTTTGGGTAAAGGTGAATTTTGTTTAACAGCAGGATTACGATTTAAAATATTGAATTACTTTGAAGTAAACTTTATATGCAAGCATATTTATGGATCAAAAATATACAATAAACCTATAGAAAATAAAACTTTATTATCAAAATAAAAAAAACATTCACATAAATAAAACTCAACTGTAAAACATTAAAAATACTACATATTTACCCCATATATAAGATGTTCCCTATAATCTATAGAAAATAAAATACTTTATTTTTAAAAAATAACAATTTGCAATAACCTATAGAAAATAAAACTATTAAAAAATAAAAAATGGAGTTCTCATAAATAAAACTAAACTCTATAATAGTCTATAACATTAAAAATACTGCATATTAGCACCATAATATATAAAAGATGTTCCCTTTAATCCATAAAAAATAAAACAAACTTTATTCTTCAAAAATAACAAATATTGTAAAAAAAAATTCTCAAAAATGAAATAACAAAAAATACCTTTAACTCTCATATAACAAAGGCTCCCTATTTTTTAAAATTATCTTTAAACCATTGAAACATGTCCCGTTTGAGGGCCATTTTCTCATCATGCCTTTGTTGTATATTGGCAACTATTTCTTTAATTGTTAAAGATGATTTTCTTTTTTTTTCTCCTGAACACATACTAACTTTTGCATTTGAAGCATGATTTTCTATTTCACTGGTATTAGAAGTAGATTCCTCAATTATTTTTCTTTTGAGCACAATTCCACTACTTGACGCTGTAGCTAGAGGTTCAAATCTGGGATCTCTGAAATAAATTTCATGGAAATCATCCCAGTATTCCCATGATGTCTTTCCATGTCCAGATTTGCTATTATTTTGTTTAACTTTGTCATATGTTTTTCTTAGGTTACGCCACTTTTCGTCACATTTAGCCCCATATTTCATGAAACCATGTTTTTGGAGCTCACAGCTAATCAGGGCCCAGACTTTATTTTTTCTATAATTGGGGGACTCAAATTTATTTTTATGTGTTTTATAGGCTTCTATCAATAGTTTTACCATTTAGGTGCTCCACAAATTAGAATCCTTTGGCACGTCTGCCAACACAGGAGGTTAAGATGTCTACCATCTCTGGCGGAGGTGATAAAACTGCATTATTTTCTCCCAGAAGGGTAAAGTTGCTGTAGTTTACAGCGACGTTATTAAATGATACCAGGCAAGCATGCATAGCTAATATATGTAATTAAACTTTTATATTTTACATTGGTAAGACCTAAACTAGAATTTGCTTCAATTATGTGGACAGGAGAATGTCAAACATCTCTACAGGAACTTGAGAAAGTACAAAACAAATTCTTAAGGCACCTTTATTACAGAAAATATAATAAAAGAGCGGATTATAACTCTGTAAGAACTACACGACTTCGTACTGAATTTAATATAGTGTCATTAGAGAGTAGGCGTAAAGTTACATCTTTATTAATTTTACATAAAATCTTAAATAATACGGTAAATTCCTTTGAGTTGCTATCTTTAATCACATTTAATGTACCATCACGAATAACACGCAATATGCCAATGTTTAATATACCATTTGTCAGTTCTACTTACCGTGCTCCTCTCCTAGAAATGCTTCGCTTAGGAAACAATATTAGTTATATATTGAATATCGACTGGAACCTTCCTTATAATAAATTTAAAAATGTAATTGTGAAATACATATATAACTTGTCTGTATAATAACAAAATAAAATAATGTAAAAATAATACTCTACATATCACCATCTTATTTAAGAAAGTAATGGCTCTAAACGAAAAATTTATTTCCTAAATTTGTTAAAATATTTTTATTTTTAGAAGTGTCATTTTTTGTTTTGAATAATATAGTCCATATTAGTTGGTTAAACATTGTACTTTGAATTGTTATCCCCTTTAGTTTAGTTTAAGTTAGTTTGGATAATGTAAATTTAGTTTTAGCTACTAATTAAGAATTAAAATTGTACAATTTATGTATTATATAATTTGTAAAATAACTATCCTTGTAATAAGGCCAGTAGGCCTGGTTGGGTAGAATAAATAAATAAATAAATAAATAAATATGAGAATCTATTAAATTGTTTATCGAACCTAAAGGTTTGCCACAATATCCGCATTTTAATATGGTATCCTAAAAATACATATTTTTTTGTTAGTTTTAAATGTATAATTTTTAAAACCTTAGTTACCTCTGACGGCGTATCCATTGCAATTTTCCCACTAGTTTTTTTTTTCGCAAAACAAAATCAGTTCTCTTTGTCCTTAAATAAATAATTTTTTTACGAAGAATTGACAGCAATGACAGCTTATATTGTCAATAAAAACAGGAACGACCAACAACAATCAACGGTTGTTCTGGTTTTGTCAAATGTCACACATTTTCAGTCATCTTGTTCCGTAAATATTCATTTTTCAAGATTTGTGTGTATACGGAACGAATTTAAGGTAACTAGGTTAACCAAGGCGATTTACGGAAAGCACTCTAGGTGATTGTCAAATATAAAATGTATAGGTAAATCATAAATAAATAAATAAACAAATAAAATAAATATATAATGAGACCGAAATTTCGCTACGTCTGACAACGCTGCAGCCTGGCTCGGTTTCCAGCTATTCCAGTCTCTGCAAGTCTATGCAGCTTACTGCGAACGACAAGTACTTATAGATTTCATTTTGCTTTTGCAGTAGTATAGAAGAGCATGATTTTCGTTACATATTTGTGAACACTGTAATTGCGTATTTATTGTTCAAAGAAAGTAAATAAGTCTAGATATCAGGTGAGTGTTAGTGTAATAAAGTTATTAGGTACACATAAATACATGGGCTATCTGCTGTCTGTATAAAGAAGGGAAGTATAGGAATCATAATTTTTTTGACCTCGAGTTTTCGAAGGACTTTTACGTTTTGGGGTTCCCTCAATTCGTTTTGACTGTTTTCGCGATAATTTCTATATGTGTGTCTGTCTGAGCGTGTCTGTCTGGGTGTGTATGTCTGTGTGTGTCTGTCTGGGTGTGTCTGTCTGTGTGTGTGTCTGTATCCACGATAACTCAAAAACAAATAAAGTGAAAAACACTGAATTTTAAACTTAAGCTTTAATCCATCCTCTAATGAGTAGAATACATTTTAGGCATAGTCGGAGGATTTATACAGGGTCGTTTTCTACTTTACAGGATATTTCTGTTATTTACGCTTGGAGAAAAAAATGTGTTAAATAAAAGTTGCTTGAGATGTTATTTTCTATAATTTTTATTGTATACATGATTTCCCTAAAATGGTGGTGGAACAGTCATTATCCTTTGCGGCGATGTATATTCCACTATAATCCAAAAACTTTTTTTTATACATTTTTTCTTTTAAGGAAAAAATGTCAGACATTCGAAACTATTTTAAAAGACAGCATCACCAGGATCAGGTTGTAGAACCTGCCAGCAAAAAAGGAAAACCAAAAGTTCCAAAAACAGAAAGTAATATAAATGATAATAATCAAATATCATCAGAAAGTAATGATTTAGAGTTTGAAAGCACACCGGGACGCATTTTCATAACAGCTGACGCGCTAGATCATCGGCGGTGCTTTGGCTTATTCCGGCTTTTCAGTAATGGGCGACAGACTACGCGGTAGTTTGACTAACACTCGGTCGTCGTATTTAATTGTTTATCAGTTGAAACGTGTTGGCTGATGTATAAAAATGGATTGCTTACCAGATAATTATAAGAAATTTGACGATAAATGTATTGTAAGATCTAATTTAAAATCAAAAGACGATGTCGAGGTAAGTTTGAGTCAAAATGGAAATTGCGATGTGGAAGGACATAATGTTTATTTCTTTTTGACGCAGTCAGCTGCTAGTGGTATTCCTTTAGGCTGTGTTTTAAGTAGCAGTCAAAAGGCAGATGTGTTTCGCTTAGGTGTTGTTGCTTTGTTTGAAATCTTACCTATTAAAGTAGCTCCTTCAGTCATAATAACTGATGACGATTTAGGTGAACGTAACATTCTATAATTATTTTAGCCCAATTCTACTTTACTTTTATGCTCATTCCACGTTTTAAAGGCGTGTTAAAAGTGGATTCAAATTTCTAAACATGGGATTCCCAAAGAAGAATCGCAAAAAGCATACGCAATATTCTCACCGCTCGAACAGAAGAAAACTTAAATGATGCGAAAAAGCAGTTCGAAGAATTTTCCAAATATCCAAAATTTACTGAATATGTGAAATCAATGATAGAACGGATCGAGTTATGGTGCCTATTTTACAGACGTAACTTGATGATTTGAGGAACAAACACAAATAACTACATTGAAGTTACATTTAGGTTGCTGAAAGATATAGCGTTAGAAAGAACTAAAGCCTTCAATTTAACGCAGTTGTCGTATTTTATAGTAAATAATTTTGAATGTTATTATAAGCAACGGCTTTTAGATGTGGTTTTAAACAGAGTGACAAAGTCCACAAAATTACGGTACATCCATGATGGTAAAGATGTTTTACCGTCAAGTATTGTCAAAAGAGGTAATTTGGAGTTTAGCGTAACTTCTTCTAAAAATAAAGATGTTACATACATAGTTGATATGATGTCTTTCCGATGCAGTTGTTATGTTAGATACAATGGAAAGCACTGCAAGCATCAGGCTGCTGTAGCAAAAAAAGAAAATATTATTTCTTGTGTGAACACCTTATCTCTTGACATGAAAATGAAGCTTTATGTAGTAGCGTGTGGAGAAAATCTAAATCATGAGCTATTTCTTCCACTTCAAGGAGACAATGTGGATATTTTAACCATAAACCAGCCTACACGATACTTATCCAATATTACTACTGAATGCATTTCAATAAATGAAGATGAAGCAAGTGGTTCTGAAGCAAGTGGTTCTGCGTGTACTTTAAATGTCAATGTTCCTACGACCAAGGAACTCGATGATTTAAAGGAACATTGGAAAACATTTTGTAATGAAATCCTGATACATCTTGACGATAATCCAATAGAATTGTATCCTGCAATTTCCATTTTCCTAAAAAATAGAGAAAAGTGTGCTAATAGTAACAACTCTCTTATATTAGGGTTGCATAATTCTTTTAAATACCACGGAACAACTCCAAAGCATAAACGCCTGGGTATAAAAAAAGGAAAAATGATAAGTGTGCAGCCAACAAGTGCAGCTAGAAGAAAATCGGCAATGGGTGGCAAAAAACATTCCTCAGCTGGTAGAAGAGTGAAAAGTTTACAAAAAAAAGGCTAAAGCACCCCATTCTCTACAAAAATGTGTCAATATGAATATAGGCTTAGGTGAAAATAAGTTTAAAAAATGATCCGTTTTTTACGTTGATTTGTTATTTTTCTAAGGTTATTTTTTAATAATTTATAAATCAATAAAACATAATATTAGTTATACATTAGGTTATGTATTTTTATTATTTTATTTTTAAATGTATTTTATAAATAAATTAATAACGAAAACAAAGTCATTATTTGCTAAGCTAAAATGAATAAAAAGTTTTTTTAAATTAGTCTCATTTACTTAAGGTGAGAAACAGCAGACGTTCTAGACCTAGATCATCTGCTGTTACTGTCGTCGCCGAACGCTATTAGCGCGTCTGCTGTTACGGACAATGCCACGGGGCCGTCAGGATCAACACTTTTGTTTACTGATATCGATGGGTACAGTGAGCTAGACATTGGTGATTTTATTGAAAGTAATAGACTTAATAGTTTAAGTGATTCGAAGAAGTACAATTTGTTAATGAATAAGCCCAATCCAGACAAAAAATTTGATTTTAAAAGACAGGTAGATCCGTCTAACAAACGGCATTTTATATATGATTGGTTTAGTCAATATTCTTGGCTTGTATATTTAAAAAAATTATTAGGGGCTCTTTGTATAAATTGTATTTTATTTAAAGCAGTGGTGAAACGAGGGCTTCAGGGTTCATTTATTACCAAAGCTTTTAAAAAATACAAAAACTTTCATGAACATGCTAAAAGTCATGAACGGTCCGAATAGCATAAAGAAAGTGTTATGAAATCAAACTATTTTGTTGAAGTATTTCTTCAAAAATCTGTAAGTGTTGACTTGCAGTTAAATAAAGCAGTTCGTGACAAAATTAAAGAAAATCGAAGTAAATTATTTCCGATTGTTTCAACAATTGTTTTATGTGGAACACAAGATTTAGCATTGCGCGGAAAAGAAACTACAGACGGAAATTTTCAAACATTGATAGATTTCCGTGTTGAGTCGGGTCATACTGTATTAGCTGACCATTTAAAAAATTCTTCTGGAAAAGCAAAATATATTTCACACAGAGTTCAAAATGAAATAATCAATATATGCGGTTCTGTAATCCGAAAAGAAATTATAGAGAAAATTAATAATCAAAACACAGTTGCTTTTTCCTTAATTGCTGATGAAACAGCAGACATTTCTGGTATTGAACAGCTCTCCATAGGAGTCAGATTTGTTGACAAAAAGATGGTGCTAGTGTCATATGTGAGGATTTTTTAGGATTTGTTCCATTAAATGAACTTAATGCGGCGTCAATTGCTAAAGCAATTTTGTCATTTTGCAAGGAAAACAATTTACCTATGAATAAATTAGTAGGTTTGGGTTTCGATGGATGCGCGACAATGGACGGCCATGAAAAATTATTAAAGACGTATACACCAAAGCACGCTTTTTTCACTGTGCTTCGCATAAAATAAACCTGGTTGTATGGTTGTAAATGACTGCAGTTCTGTCCGCGAAATACAAAATACGGTAGGAATAATAAAGGAGACAATAAAATTTTTCCGCGAGAGTAGATTACGTAGAAGACTTGCACCAAACATGCCTATTTTATCAGATACTAGATGGTCAGCGAAATATACGGCTATAAGGGTATTTTCTGAAAATTTTATTGAAATAAAAAATGTTCTAGATCAAGTTTCTACAAATCCAAAATTTAACAGCGCAACAACTTTTTAGCGCCACCTCTGGTTCTTCTTTTATAATTTATATTCATCAATTCTTGAACCAGTTGTTAATATATTACAAGGTTAGTCAAGTGATATGTTGTCGGTTAAAAAACATGTAAAAGGCATACTCAATATGATCCAATAACATAGAGATAAAGCAGACTCTAATTTTCAAAATATTTTTATTGAAGCTCAGAATATAGCTGACGCTTTTGATATTACTTTTGAATCGCCAAGGTTGGCCAAACGACAAACAATGTGCCAATTACTTGGCTAATTCTGTACAGGATTATTTTAAGGTGTCTTTCTTTATACCCTATATAGACTCATTTTTGTATTCCATAAATAATAGACTTTCAGACGAAAATAATCCAAGCTTTTTTCTTTTCAATTTACATCCTGAAAATTTACTTAAATTAACTAAAGAAGAGTATTTAAAATCAATGAATGATATTTGTAAATTGTACGAGATAGAAAATTTAAAAGAAGCACAAACATGGCACTATTTCTGGAAACATAAAGAAAACAGAATTGTTCTTTCAATGATTGACTTGACTTACTAGAATATTGTCAGTTTTACCCCGCCATTGCAAAATCAATTGAAATTTCTTTATGCTTACCGCCCACAACATGTACTGTGGAGTGCTCATTTAGCACTCTTCGAAGAGTAAAAACTTGGATTAGGGCTACAATAAGCGAAAACCGTTTGGACGGTTTATGTATGCTAAGCGTTTATAGGCAAGTTATTCAGAAGGATAAAGAAATGTATATAGAGAAGCTTATAAATGAATATGGTAAAACCAAAAGAAACCTTTCTTTTTTCTGAGTGATGAGTCAACAACGTGTTTTTATAATTATATAATATACCTACTATTTTTTGAATAAAATTATTTTATATAACTACTTATATATTTTTTTTTGCCCCCCCCCCCCCCTGGAATAACGCTTATGGGCGCTTATGCTTGAAGCTTCTAACGGAAACTGTAACAACCAACTTGCCTAAAGACCATTTGTAACTACTGATAGGTATTTAGCTACTGTTGTTAATATACTATTAAGGGATTAGGGCAGCGCCGTCACCAGCCAAAGGGTCCACGAGTCCTGAAGGAACATCCATTCATTAGTGGCAAATAAAATTAATAAAAAAATTAAATTAAAAAGAATAAAAAATCATCCCTTAATAGCATAGTCGAGCGGTTCTTGGCAACTAGTTTTAGACTCTTTTAGTCCTAAGGGAATAGAAACGCCGAGGCTTCTCAAATGATCGGAGTATTTTGCTGGTTTGGAAAGGAAGAAGAGATTAATAATAAGTATTAAAACATTAACAAATGTATATTAACAATAAATATAAAATTGACAAATAGTTTTAAGAAAAAATGAATAAAATTCCATTTAGGGAATAAAGCCCTATAACTACATAGTAATATAAAGATATGCATAAGATAAATATAATTCGGGACGAAAATGTAAAATTGGCATTTATTAAATCAATCAATCAATTATTATTAAACAAAAACTTTAAAATTAAGTTAAAATATTTACCTATAATTCACATCGTACACAAAACTTTACTGTACACATTACTTTACAATACAAAACGAGAGCTTTCGCCCCCGGGGCGAAAGTTCTGGACCTCAGTCCGAACTCGACTGAGAGTTTACCCAAGTGATCCTTTCTTTCTATCTCCTCTGTATATAAACCACAATTTACGTGGTGGTTGGTTGTATTTAAAAATGTCACGCTCAATGTAGATTAATAACCTGAAGGTTTGTTTCATTTGAATACGTGTCTTTTTAATTATTTAATTTAAACATTAAATACTTATTTTTAGAATTTTTGGTAAATTCTTTAGATTTTTTCAAATAATAATAATGCCAATTAATACACAACGGTCACTAGCGAAAATGGACTCTTCCATTCGTTAACGTCGTGGTGAATACAAAAACTGCAGAATATTTCACTTGATTTGCGGTGAAATAAACGTTTTACCTCGGAGCTAATGACCAAAATGTTAATGATTGTTGTTAATACTTGTTTTTTATTGAAACACAATAATACATAAAATAACTTTTTTACAAGATATTTACATGAAAAAATGCACGAACAAATAAAAAGTAAAAGTCTGCTGCTGTGTGTTTACGCGTTGAATGCTGGTTTGCCAGTGTCTATAAAAAACGGTTGGATTTCTTGTCGACTGGGTTAACGGTGACGTGACGGGAACAATACACTCGCGCAGGAGCGGCTTTAGGGGGAAATTGCACACATATGTTTCATTTGTTGATTTGTGTGGATTTTGATGGTTATCATTCACATTAATTGATAAGTTTGAACAAGATGGTTTTTCATTATCTATATCTAAAATATTGTTTTCAATAGAACTTGTAGATACATTTCAAGGGAATTTATGATATTTTTTAGTGTAAATTCATGATCATAGGCATTTTTGATTAAAAATGAAATAGTGCGGAAAGTCACAACATGTCCAGGATGACCCAATCATCAGATACGACAGTAAGATACGTTTTAAATGGACCGTAAATACCCACCTCCAATAGCTGTAAACATAATCAGTTTTAAAAAACCTTTAGATGCTATATTTATTATTTATCTACCATGATCTTATTATGTTAAGTTCTTACTCGTATTATGTACAGAAAAATGCACACATTTCATATTAATTTTTTAATTAATCATTTCCAACATGGGGTAGATTCGGCTACTAGATGAATACCCCAAATCAAATGCCGAATTTACCCCATGTAACCATATTTCATATTATTACTGATTAACAAACTTCTAAGTTAGAATACAAATGCACATATGATTTCTAATTATATGAATATCGTCGCTGTTAGTGCAATAGGTAGTATGTCCAAAATTACGATTTTTCAGGACATAAGAAAATGGTTTTAATTTTTTATGTATTTCAGTTTTTTTTTTTTGGAATATGAGAAATTATTTTAATTAGCTCGGATATATTATATGACGTTAACCTTATTAGTTTATGATGACCCAAAGAGACTTTTTATAGACATAGGAGAAATGTCTTTCTTATAATGGTTACATATTTTGACATGCGACATTTTAAGCTGATTAAAACCAAAGGAAAACAATGCTATACATACCAAGTAACTTGAAAAAATATTTATTTTAAGTAAAAAAAAAGTTAGATACAAAGTAAAATAATTAACCACTTAACTGTTAAAATAACAAGACAAATCAATTATGCAACAAATTTTCATAAAATAGTCTGCAGTCGAGGGGAATGAACTCTTTAAGTTCTTGCAAATGAGCGAATTTAGAGGCTTCTATTGGACATGGACCATCATAAAGACGCTGATACTCGTCACTGCTTACAGATGCGCGTTGACGCTGAGGCAGATCTTTCCAGGCTTCCGAAAAGTTCAACTTGTAGGAAATTACACCATTTGGATCACAGTGGAGTGCGCAGATATCAGTTACCACTGGATCTCCGGGTTTTCGACCCGGTCTTATGCTTGAGTAAAATTTTGTTCCAAATTTAAAAAAATCGAGATGCGTTAATTCGAATACTTCGTAGGGAAAAAGATTTTGTCTGGCTTCTCTCATAATTCGCAAATAATCAGAAGGGAGGTAAATTTCTTTTCGACGACCCATTTTTCTTTCTATTAGACTATGAGCGGAGTCTACCTCCATCTGGGTATGTCCCACCTCCAGATACTTCTGCTCAATCTCAACTGAAAACTTTTTGGAAATATCAAGTAATGCATTGGGCAATTTTACATTCCTATTTTGGTAGGAGCATCCGTCACTCCAAAAAATGATTTTTGAAGGACGATGCTTTTCAATTTGTTGATTAACAAATTTTGTAGCTATTGATGCAAAAACATCACTTTCAAGGCCGGCCTGTGCTTCGTGCCACACAAAACATGTAACTGCCTTTGTTTTCAAGTTGTAGTAAGTCCAGTTATGTACTTTTAACTTTGTTTTATAATAATTTGCTGCAGCATTCAGGCGGGGAGCTAGAAGAACTGCTTGAAGATCTACTGCAAAAGCTAAAGTCTTTTCATTTTCCTGGCACTCTGTTTTGTCCTTCTCCTTTTCTTCACGGGCTTTTGACTTTCTAAGAACGTGCGCTTGAAAGGTTTCTTCTGCTACTGACCCATTTTTGTATCCCGAACAAGTATTACACTGGTCTTTCTTCGGTGTCCATATTTCCAAATTAAGCTTCTTAAATATTTTAAAAAAAGTAGTCCAGGATGCTGCCTTCTTGTCCTCTTCTTGTCGTTTCTCATTATATATTTTATAAACGTGTCTATAACTATCCCAAACAGGCTCCAAATAAAGCTTTGTACTGGAAGATCGGCAGTAATGGGACTCGACCTGTGGCAAACTTAAAAGAAATGCCTCCACATTTATAGAACAGCTTTCATTGTGTTGTAGTGATTCATTACTTGACTTGATGCCTTGGTTAGTATTGCTACTCTTCTCTGTAACCCAGTTTTGTACTGTTTTTTCTCCAATGTTCAATGTGGCTAGAAACATTGCTTTGCACACAAGTTTTCTGGATTTTGTATTCCCATTTGCAGCAAGTTCCTGATTATTTACTATTAGGTGGTATTTCAATGTAAACCTTTTAAGTTTTTCTTTATTTGTTGCCGTGCGTCTATATTTAGGTGTTACTGGAACAACTAGTCCTTTTACAAATGACTTCTTTGCTTCCCAAGAATTTAGTTTCCAAAACTCTTCAAACAAATATTCTCTTTGAACATCAGATATATCACTGCATTGAAACCCTTGCCGTGGTCCACCTTTCCCGCTTTTTGCAAGTTTTTGATGATGGCCACTGCACTTATTCCCTATTCTTCGCATTTCTTTCGATGTGTTTTGCTTATAAACTCCGGATTTGTCTTTTTTAAACCCTGTATAGGCTTTTCCATGAAGTCTTAATTCGGCTTGCTTACTTCTTTTCCATAACTTGGGATTACCTTGGCCTTTACTTTTTCTTGTATTCCCCTTTCGACCATCTAAATTTGAATCAGTAGGTATATTGTCAGTCTCCTTTTGGGTAGGGCGTTGTCTGTTAGGGTCTTCACCGTCACAAGAGGTAGATTCATTTGACATGTTACTTATATTTTCAGATTCGGTATCTTCTTTTTCCGATGGCTGGTACTCTGATCCAGAATCTTCAAAAAAGTTTTTAATATCAGAATCCTCTGAATGGTACTCGTCTTGGAGGTTGCCAGCAAGGACAGTTACTTCTTTAACGTAGGTATCAATATTCAAACCGTTTTCAGTTGGTATCAGTTCCGAGGTGGCTTGAGGAAAAGTTGTTGCTTTGTTTTCTTTCTTTGAGAGTTCTGAGGAAAGCGTACCATTATTTAAATTTGTCACGTTTGTTGAAATATCCGTACTCTCACCAGGATCAGAGTGATTGGAACATCCTTCTATCCCAGCTGATTGAAAACATAGTTGTAAAATGCGGTTATTTCTAATGTTTCTTGTAAACATAGTGTGATATCTACAACAAAACATCATTTTTAATAGATCGTATGTCAAAACTTTCAACATATTCAGTAAAGAA